CATTTAACTACACACACACACACACACACACACACACACACAAAAGATTTGGGACATATTCTCCCATTACTGTAAGATCATTTAATGGGAATTTTGAAGCACATAAAGGAGAGGGGAGAACACATCTATATTTTTTCTACCCAATTAATCTCTTTCTTCCCCAATACAAAAGCCAAAAATGGCCTTTTGAAACAAAAAATATAAAAAGGTGATGGGTTTGATGAGTTGGGATTGGATGTGTACCGATGATCTCAGGACACAGAATGATACTAACAAAAATTACAGGCAGTTTACATAATGAAGTTATTAGAATACATATAATTGTGGTGTAATTATCCAATATTTACAAGAGAATGAATTAGTAGAGGATTCATCTTCTATGACAAGCAGAACAACATCAAGTGAAATACCATGTATCTGTTATATTATAGTCTGACTTCCTGTATAACACAGGCCAAAAGACTTCCCTAAATAAATAAATCTTAGATGCACAGCCATTTGCAAACTGTGATCTATGAGGCACTGGCTGGTAGTCTACAGAGAGCTCAGTCACATGGTGATGACCTTCTCCATTTTTCCAGCTGCTTCTTTCATTGTGACGACAAAGCCTGATGGCCAGTAAAAGCAGCTGGAAGCAAGGAGGAACCAGTCTAATGCAAAGACAGAAAAAACAGGAGCTACCATCAGAGACCTAATCTAACAGGGACTGGAGCTGCCAGCCACCATTGTGAGAGGAATGTTCAGAAGAGCAATGGAGAAGGGAATGAGGCAGCCAAGAAATATGGCCAAAGGAGAAGGGAACCAAGAATCAAGGAAGCAGTAGAAGGAGGAGCACCATTCAAAATCAAAGGATATAAAGGGAAAAAGGAGAAGAGAACCAGATAGGAGAAAAGTATGCGAAGAGAAGCAGGGGGAGAGACAGGGGAATGTGAAAGTAAAAGTAAAAGTAGACAGCGTCAGAATATAAGACCCAAAGGTCCATCTAGTCCAGCGTCCTGTCTTCCGACAGTGACCAATGGCAGGTGCCCCAGAAGGAATGAACAGAACAGATAATCATGAAGTGATCCATCCCCTGTCTCCCATTCCTAGTTTCTGGGAAACAGAGGCTAGGGACATCATCCCTGCCCATCCTGGCTAATAGCCATTGATGGACCTATCCATGAATTTATCTAGTTCTTTTTTGAACAGCATGATTAACTTTTTCAAAAAGGACTTAACACTTATTGCTCTGAAGTCAATACAAATGCATTAGACCACTTCCCAATTGCTACTCTACGTTGTCAGTGCCTGGTTTACCTGCCCCAGGGATGTTATATGTTTGCAAATGGGAATAGAGCAGTCTATGAGAGAAGGGGACTGACTCTGATTTCACTTACTGGGTGCAAATCAACAGTAACACCACTGAAGTCAGTGGAGCTAGAGGAATGTAAAACAAGTGCCCATGAAAGGAGGACAAAGGCCAATCTATTAAGAAGTGGTCAACACTACAAACATTTTGATAACCTATGCCCAAGTGGACATATATTGTTGAGTAATTTTTTGACAGAAGTTCACATTCTACAAATACAAATTTGGGAATTTGTACCCAGGTCCCTGCCATTTATATTTATATTTAAATTATATTTTTAGGAAGATTGCAAAATAATGTACAAGATTAGCTACTGTTCTAATAGGAAAAGAACTTAATGTACAACATTTCACCCACATTCTATAAGAGTGACTCTTGAATAATTTTGTGAAAACCAATGAAAGACTAATAAAACTTTCAGTTTGCAAATACATTTGTAGGTCCTTAACAATCTAGCACACTTGTCAAAATAGGCTCTGACTTCCAGACCTCCCACTATGATATAATTAACTTGAATGAGCTTCTCTCCATCATGAAGACAAAGGTGGGAAAAGTGATGTAACTGCAATCCATCTAATGCAGGTTTTGTACAACCTCTTTCTTATGACTGGCTTCACACACTGATTAACAGACACTTTCCACTTCAGTCTTTAATTAAAAATTATAAAAGCAGTCAGCTGTAGGCCATGAATGTGTTGGTGACAAAAAAAAATAGTGCCATTTTATAGTAGGAAGATCAAGCACTGAACAAATTTAGTGTTTAACAATATTCAAACATCTCTGCTGTAAGTCAAAGAAAAGATGACATATACACTACTATGGATTCTACAGAAATCCAAGTAAGTTGGTATTATTTTTCATTATACTACACTGATTATTTAAAAACAATTGTATTATAACATAAACCTTCATCAAACTTTATGTTGCATATATTTATTCAAAATAGTTTCAGGACCCAATATTATGACAATGTGCCACACATTCTGTAGTTTGACTTGATAACAGAATAGGAAGTGATCTCCTGGGTTTCCATCCGTATTCAGTCTAACCTAGATATTTTAAAGGGCCTTTTGCATTGTAACTGAAGTATCTGCAAGCACTGTATAATAGTTTGTTAGCTACTGGTGCCACAGTAACTAAGATTTTATGGTAATTTGGAGATATCCCATCCCATCTCCTAGAACTGGAAGGGACCTTGAAAGGTCATCAAGGCCAGCCCCCTGCCTTCACTAGCAGGACCAAGTACTTATTTTGCCCCAGACCCCCAAGTGGCCCCCTCAAGGATTGAGCTCACAACCCTGGGTTTAGCAGGCCAATGCTCAAACCACTGAGCTATCCCTCCCTTGTTCAAAGCATTAATATGCAGCAGATACATATTTGGGTTGAGCGAGTACTGGATTTTTCTGTTTGCAGGCCAAAATAAAAAATCTGAAAAAATCTGGTTTGATCTGAACTGATATCTTTTTATCCTGAGAGTTTTCTAGCAAAAGAAAAACTCAAAAAAGTTCATCTTGAATCCAGACAGAATGTTGAGAGCTGAGACAAAAGATTTTTTTGTTTAGTTTCTGGTTTGAATCAGCTCTTTGGAGTGTTTTTCACCCTTTTTGGCTGTTTTGTTTTTAATTGGCCAAATAAGGTTGGACAAATTTAGGCTGGACATTAGGAAAAACTTCCTAACTGTCAAAGTGATTAAGTACTGGAATAAATTGCCTAGGGAGGTTGTGGAATCTCCATCTCTGGAGATATGTAAGAGTAGGTTAGATAAATGTCTATCAGGGATGGTCTAGACAGTATTTGGTCCTGCCATGAGGGCAGGGGACTGGACTCGATGACCTCTCGAGGTCCCTTCCAGTCCTAGAATCTATCTATGAAATGTCAGCTCAAACCACTGTTTCAAAATATTTTGAAACACATGGTTAAAAAAAGTTTTGAAAGAGTTAACACAAAACATTTCAACTCTCTTCATCCCCACCCCCCCAACTGAAACATTTTGTCAACTTTGACAAAGGGGACTCTAATTTTTCGGGACTCAATTTTTTCTTTAATGAAAAACTATTAGTCAAAAATATATATTCACAGTGGTCAGACTTCTTACCAGGAGGTTTTCCCATTGATCAAACATAATAAAAGGTCACTGAAGATGATGATATTAAATGTAGATGGAGATATTACTGAGCCTCCCCAGAGACACTCATAAGACAGAATGACAGAAAAGAGGGTACCGAGCTGTACCCATATATTGGGCAAGAGGAAGTGGTTCGCGCTATTATAAAAATGAAGTCTAGGAAAGTACAAGAGGTAAATAACATGCCTGCAGAATTGTTAAAAGGGATTGATGAATGGGGTACTGATCTTATGTGGAATGTTGATAATGATATATGGATGGCTAGAAATTATCCAAAAGACTGGATGAAGGCAATTTTTCTGCCCATAGGAAGGGGACATAATAGAGTATTGTGCAAGAAAAGGTCTACTCCACATATTCCAGGATCGTATAAAATGAAGGATAGAAGCAAAACTATCACCACAACAGGTTAGTTTCAGAAAAGATTGTGACCAAATTGTGAATACCTGTCACACAACTGAAAAATGCAGTCAGTGCTTCATTGTGCTCTACTGACTACTGAAAAGTGTTTTATACCATCTAACATGACTGCCTTTGGAGTATACTGGCAAACATCGGTTTCCAAAGCATCTAACTGAACTCACCACAAACAGACTATGGTGAGAGCAGCAGGATTTGACAGTGAGTGGTTTTCCACAGAGTAAGGTGTGAGACAAGGGTGTATTTTGTCCCCAAGCCTCTTTAACATATTCACAGAATTTATTATGAGATAAGCCTCAGAAGGTCTTGACAAAGCAGAAGACACTGGAATTTCCAATAGTGGACACCTCTTAACCAACCTGAGATATGTTGATGACACAACACTCTTTGCTACAACCACCGATAAATACTGAAATAAATACTGGACTCTGTAAAAACAGCTAGTGAGGAATATGGACTGAATGCAATGGAAACAAGATGTACACTGACAAACTAACAAAAACTGGATGCAAGCTGACATCACAATTAACAGACAAACTGTAGAGGCAGCAGACGAACTTAATTATGTGGGATCAAATATATATCCAACCAAGGAGGATGTTCCAAAGAACAAATGCGGTGCTGGAAAAGGCTCTTGTGTTTCCACTGGATAGGAAAAGAGACAAATGCCTATATTAGAAATATTATTAGAAAGAAGCAGATGTCAGAAATCAACAGACACAAATTTCTGTACTTTGATCACATTAGGCATAAAGATGGAAATAACCTTGAAAAAGTTATTGTGAAGGAATGGTGGTGGGTCACCATAGCAGAGGACAACCAGCAAGGAGACAGATGGCTGGTGTGTGGCAGATCATTGGGAGGTCTGCTGCTAAGTGCTCAAAGTTAGTGATGGATCATGAAGGATTCAAAAAATTCTACTATGATGTCACTGATATTCAGACATGAATAAACTGATTTACTTACTTACTTAATCAGGGAACACAGAAGACATTAATCTATTAGATCCATGTGCCATACAACCTATTAAGGGCCAGCCCACTGAATTAGACATAAGCCTGCTAACAGGGTCTGGGGTGAGTATGCCGCCAGGGAAGAGAAGGGAGTCCTCCTCTCTGGCCCCAGCCCCAAGGCAGCCTGCCTGCACCCAAAACTCCTCATCTCCAGCCTCACCCCACCCCAGTGCCCGTACCGCCAGCCAGAGCCCTCACCCCCAGCGCCCCAGCCCTGAGCCCCCTCCTGTACCGTGAACCCCTCATCCCCGGCCCCACCCTGCAGCCCCCACACCCCAACCCTCTGCCCTAGCCCTGA